ATACTTTAAGAATGAAGATAAAATAAAGACATTTTTAGTGAGGGGAAAGCTAAAAAAAAATCCATCACCAATAGATCTGCTCTAGAATAAATGATAAGAGGAGTTCCAATGGTAGAATAAAAATGACACCAGAAAGAAACATGAAACTCCCCAAATGAAGAATTCCAACAAAAATAAATGCTTGGTACAATATAATAGCCTATTTTTCTTGTCTTAAGTTCTTCAACATACATTTGAATGTCAAAACCAAATATTATAGCATTGTCTGATAGAGTTTTAAAATGTACATAGATGCAATACACATGACAGAAACACTATCAAAAGGAGAGAGTAATGGGACCTTTATGGTTGCAAAGTTTCTGCATTTCACATGAAGTAAAATATCTCTAAACTGACTGTGAAAAGTTAGATATGCAGATTAAAGCCCCTGAAGTTACTGCTTTAAAAAAACTATACAGAGAGTTTAAAAGGTAATCAATAAATTAAAATGAAATACTAAAAATGTTCACACAATTCAAAAGAAGGCAAGAAAGGGGGAAAAGGAGTCCAAAAATAGAAGGATGAACAAACTAAAAAAAAAAAAACCTAAATCCAAACATATCAATAATTATGTTTACTATAAATCATCAAAGCAGAAACATAATTATTAAATTAGATAGGAAAAAGAATACCAGTGAAATGCTGAATAAAAGCAACCTACTTTATATTTAATGATATAAAAATTTTAATGATGAAAATTAAAGGATGGCAAAAAGATATACTACACAAACACTAATCAAAAGAGAACTGGAGTGGCTAGATTAATATCAGACCAAATAGGCTTCAGAACAAGGAAAGGGGGATAAAGAGGAATATCACTCTTTGATAAAAAAGATGAATTCATCAGAAAGACAAAATAGTACTAGATGTGCTTGCACCTATCTAACCACACAGCTCTTCAATACGTGAAACAAGACTCAATAGAACTGAAGGAGAGAGAGACAAATCCACATCATGCTTGAAGACTTCAATATTCCTGTCACTGTTATAAATAAAAGAAGTAGAAAAATATCAGCAAGGATAAGAGGACCTGCAAACGTCAACCAGCTTGACCTAACTAGCATTAATAGGACACTTCATCCAATAGCAGAATGAACATCCTTTCAAGTGCACATGGAACATTCACCAAAATAGATTGCATCCTGGGTCATTAAGTAAACCTTAACGGATTTTTAAAAATTAGAATTCCACAAAGTATCTTCTCTGTCCCTAATGGAATTAAACTAGAAATCAGTCACAGAAAAATATGTGAAAAATTCTCAAATATTTGAAAATTAAACAGTACAATTCTAGCAGTCCATGAGTCAAAGGAACTAAAAACTAAAATTCTCAAGGAAGTTAGAAAATATTTTGAACTAAAAAAAATATATAACATATCAAAAACTGAGGAAAGCAGCTAAACCCCAGAGAGAAGGAAATATATAGTACTGAATGCTTAAGTCAGAAAACAGATCAAGAAATAACTTTCCACTCTAAGGAACTAGAAAAATAAGAGGAACAAAATAATATAGATAACATAGAAATCTGTGAAATTGAAAACAAACACAATAGAGAAAATCAATAAAATCAAAAGTTACTTATTTGAAACAATCAACAAAACTGATAAATGTTCAACCAGATTGATCAAAAATAAAAGAATAAAAGGAACTAGTTACTAATATGAGGAACAAAAAAGGGAGCATCACTACAGACTCTTCATAGATTAAAAGGATAATAAGGAGTACACGAATAGTCCTGAATCTACTTAGTAAATATATTTGTGTTTAATACCTTCCAACACAGCAAACTAAAGACACAGATGGTTTTGCTGATGAGTTATATCAACCATTTAAACAAGAAATAAATTCTACACTATCTTATTCAGAGAATTTAAGAAGAGAGAGCACTTTCCACCTAATTTTAGGAGGTTATAGTTGCTGTGGTACCAAAGTCAGAAAGATGCAACATAAGAAAAGAGAACTTTAGACCAATATTCTCATGAACATAGATACAAAATACTCAACAAAATTTTACCAAATTAAATCCAGCAATATATCAAAAGACAATGCATCACAATTAACTGACATTTACCTCATGAACATGAGGCAATTTAATAGTCAACAATTAAGCAAAGTAAACCATTAGATTAACAGATAGGAAAAAATATATTATCAATAAATAGAGAAAATATATTTGCAAAATTCAATATCCATTTATAATAAACATTCTCAGCAAACAAGAAGAAGAGAACTTTCTAATGCAAGCAAAGAGCATTGTAAAAATCTTACAGCTAATATCCTACTTAATAATAAAAAATGGCAAACCCCTCAGGTCCCTTCCTTCTGTGGGAGCTTTTGTCCTCTCAATAAATCCTACTTTCTAAAAAAATAATTAATTAATTAATTAATAATAATAACAATAAACTGAATACGTGCCTTCTAAGATCAGGGATAAGAGAAGTATGTTCATTTTCATTACTTCTCATTTTAATATAATATTCAGAGCCTTACCCAGTTCAATAAGGCAAGAAAAAGTGTCAAAATGTGTACAATTTGAAAAGAAATATATAGACCATCCCAATTTATAGATGACATGATTGTCAATGTAGAAAATCCCAAGAAATCTACCCCCAAAAAACCTGTAGAACTAATAAATGGTTATTAAGATCGCAGAACCCAAGCTCAATATATAAAAAGCAATATTTCTAAATACTAGTGATGAATAATTGGAAGTAAAATTTGAAAAAAAGAACACACATGTGTTCAAAGAAGAATTTTAAATGCTTAGATGTAAATCTATCAAAATATTTGCAGGGTTTGCATGTTAAAGATTATTAAACACTGATGAAAGAAAACCTAAATAAATATAGAGATATACCATGGTCATGGATTGGAAGGCTTGATTTTGTTGGGAAGTCAAGTCTCCTTCAATAGATCTCTAGATAATACAATTTTAATCAAAATTATAGGAGGATTGTTTAGCTATTGGCAAGATAATCCTATTTATATGTGAAGTCAAAGGAAACAGAATGACCAAACAATTTTGAAAGCAAGACAAATTTGGAAGGCTCATACTATATGATTTTAGGACTTATTATAAAATACCTAATGTACAGTAATCAAGATACTGTGATATTGGCAAAATGGCAGGCACATAGATCAATGAATGGAATAGATAGTCTAGAAATACACCTACATACGTGTAGTCAATTGATTTTTTTAAAATAATGCAAATGCAATTTAGTGAAGAAAGGCTATTCAACAAATGATTCTGAAATAATTAGGCATCCATATACAAATAAATTAATCTCAACCCATATCTCAAACCTTATACAAAATAGATCATGGACTTAAATGTAAAATTCTCAAACTTTTAGAAGAAAAATCTTTGGGAATTTGCATTAGGTAAAATCTATATTTTTTAGATATAAAGCACAAACCATATAAGAAAATTTCAGTAAATTGAATAGCATCAAAATTTAAACTTTGTCTCTAAAAAAGACACTGTTAAGAGAACCAAAGCATAAGTTATTAACTAGAGAAAAATATTCACAAATAAATTATCTAATAAAGTTCTTATATTCAAAATATTTTAAATTGTTTCTAAACTCAAAGATAAGAAATTTTTTTAAATGAGCAAAAGATTTGAATAGACACTTCACCAAAGAAGATGTGTTAATGGCAAACAAACACATGTTGGTCATCGTTAATCATTAGAAAAATGCACTTTAAAACATGAGATACTACTAAAAAACCCATTCAAATGGTTACAATAAAGTTATTAAAAATCATAATACTAAGAATTGGTTTTGCTAGCAATACAAAATGGTATAGCCACTCCAGAAAATTTGACAATTTTTACAGTTACTCTTAAACCATGACCCAACATTCTTTATCCTAAGTATTTACCTAGAAAAATTGAAGCTCTCAATCACACAAAAACCTGTACATGAATATTTATAGAAACATTACTCATAATTGCCAAAAGTGAAAATAATTTAAATGTTATTGAACCGGTGAATGAATAAGCAAACTATGTCATAACCATTTAAAAATGTCCTTCTCAGCAATAAAAAGGAATGAAATATTAATCAAAGACATTATGCTAAGTGAAAGAAGGTAGACTCAAAAAGTTATATATTGTATGGTTTCACTTATGTGACATTCTGTAAAAAATCAAAACTATGGGATCAAAGAATAGATCAGTGGTTACCAGGTCCCAAAAGTGGCTGGTGGGTTTGACCACAGATGAACAGCATAAGAGAAATTTTTCAGGTGAAAGAAGTGCTATGTGTCCTAATCATGGCAAGGGTTTTATGATTCTATGAATTTGTCAAAACTCATAGAACTTCATACAAAAAAATGAACTCTACATAAATCAAAAATAAAAAGAAAGCTAGAGTGGCTATATTAATATCAAAAAATAAGAGCAGAAATCAATGAACTAGAAAACAAAAAACCAAATAAGAAAAAAAATTTAACCAAAATCTGGTTCTTTGAAAGATTAAGAAAACTTATAAACCTCTTGCCAGATTGATCCAGAAAAAGAAGACACAAATTATGAGATCAAGAATAACTCATGGATCATCACTATAGATCCCACAGACATTAAAAGCATAATAAGGAAACATAAAGAACTTTATGCCGATGAATTTGACAACTTAGATGAAAACGAACAAATTCACTGAAAGACACAAACTGCCCAAGCTGATAACTACCAATAGCTAACTGAATAGCTCCATATCTATTAAAGATATTGACTTTGGGGGTGGAGGTAAAGAGCAGTTGGAACTTCCCATGAAGAAAACCCTCCAGGAGTAGGTGGCTGCACTGGTGAAATTACTCAAAGATTCATAGAAGAAATATTATCAATTCTACCCATACTCCTTTGGAAAATAGAAGAGAAGGGAACACATCCTAAGTCATTTAATTAGTGCATAATTTTTAAAACATCAAATGGAGAGCAGTGCTCCCATCACTTACAAGACCCCAAAATCAAAGTCATTGCCCAAGAACTCCTCCAACAGACTTGTATCAAGAGCTGGGTTCTCCAGAGTCCCGTTGGCTCCCTGAGCTGCAAAGACAAATTGAAAATCTTGAGAACCATGAAGATTTCAGAACAGCCCATGGCTAAAAATCATTGACAAATCTTTATGGACAGGGACAATGTCTTTCTTGCCATATCCACAAGGATCTATGGTATAAAACAGGCAAAAAAGTATTTATTGGACAGACAGACGGATGGACAGATGGATGGATGGATATATGAATAGATGGATAGATATATGGGTACATGGATGGATACGTGAGCAGATGAATGAATATTTGGTCAATTTATTGGTTGGAAAAATATTTCCAGTTAAGTTCAATGAAAAGTTCAATATCTTGTTTTACATTTTTGTGAAACCTCCCAAAATGTTGCACAATAGTTCTGTCTCTTTTCCTGGCTTACAAAATGAAAATAAATGTATTGATTTCTTACTGATTGAAATAAATGTTAGAATTTTTATAGAACAAAATATAAGGATATAAAATATAAGCAGTTTAATAGTCATTTTTATAATAATATAGAAGACAAAATTGTTTTTATTTGCATATAACATGACACTATACCTAGCAAACTCAAGAAAAACAACTGACAATTAGAAATAATTAGAATATAAAATAGGGTAGTTGATTAAAATTAAATATGAAAACTAACTTCTGTATATAAATAACAGCCAATCATTCAACCAAACATAATATGGAAAAAATCCATTTAAAATAACAAAAATCATAAAATATTTAAATACATATTTAGAAACAATTTTTTTAACTGAAAAAATCCATGAAAGGCCTTAAGAAGAAATTTGAATAAATGGAAAGATCTACATTGTTCTTGGACAAAAAGACTCAGTATTATAAAAATATTACTAGGTATTACTTAGGATTTCTCCCAACATCACATAATCATTTTCTGAGAATTTCCCCTTACAAAAATGTTTACCAGAACCCATATTGTACTACATAATCCTTTACAGGCACCTGAATCAGGGAGAACCAATCCATTGGTTGGTCAATGACCAGTTCAAGTATTTCTCCCAATAATTTTAAGTAGTAGACTTTAAAGCTGAGGGTGGAGATTAGAATAGCTAAGGTCATAGAATAGCTAAGGCAGAGGGCTGAAGTGATAGTCTAAGTATTTCTTCCATGTTTACCCAGATCCTGCTTGACTTTTTACCCTTACTGAGGCCTGCTTGTGCTACTTTTACTCCAATTATATGATGAACTGTTGTATACACCCCAAAATAATCCTTTTGAATTTGTTTTTGTGTTACCTGAAATAAATAATCGTCAAGTTAAAGTGTTTTGAAATTCATCTAGAAATAAATACACAGGAGTGGCCAGAAAAATTATGGAGACGTAAATAAGTACTGAAAGACACATGAATGGACACTTCAAAGGAACACAAAGTCCATTATATATAAAGAAATATTATGCACATGTACATATGAATTTCAGTACATGATTAGTATATACTTTGACACCAGTGAGAAAAGATCAATTATTCAATAAATGTTTGAGGGGAAATTGACTGGACATTGGGAGGAAATAATCTGGATCACTTTCCTGCTTCAACATCAAAATTCCCGATAAATCAAAGATTTCAATGTAAAAAATGGAACCAGAAAAAGAAAACATGAGGGCATATTCTTATGATTTTGAGATAAATAAGGCTGTTCTGAGCATGGAATAAAAACTAGAAACCATAAAGAAAAAAAACAATAAATTTTACTTTATACATTTTTTGAGAGGGAAAGAATTTTTAACATTTTATTTTGAAATAATATCAAATCTACAGAGAAACCACTAGAAAACACTCATATACACCCTTCACCCAGATTTACCAATAATTAACGTTGTACTACATTTGCATTATAATTCACTTTGTCCCTCTTTCTTTCTCACACAAGTGCACACACACATGCTCACATATACACACACATGTATGCATTCTCCTGTCATATTTTTTTCAACCATTCAAGAACTAGTTGCCTTTATCCCTGAATATTTTATTTCTTCACAACCAAAGTTAAATTACAAAAATCAGAAACCCTAACACTGATACAGTTTTATTATATAACCTACATTCCATATATGAATGTTGCCAATGTCCCAATAATGTCATTTGTAGCAATGTTTTTCTGGTCTAGAATCTAATCCAGAATAACATTACGCACTGAGTTGTTATCATGTTTTTTTAGATTGTTCAAAGAGTACAGGCTAATTGTTTTATAGAATGCCCCTCAATTTTGGTTTCCTTCATATTTTCTCATGGTTAAATTCAAGTTATATGTGTTTGGCAAGAATATGATGTCAAGCCGGGCTTGGTGGCTCAACCTGTAATCCCGCGCCTTTGGGAGGCTGAGGTGAGTGGATTGCCTGAGCCCGCGGGTTCGAGACCCGCCTGGGCAGCGAGACCTCCTCTCTACAATAAATCAAAAAATCAGCCAGGCGTGGTAGCGCATGCCTGTAATTCCGGCTACTCGGAAGGCTGAGGGGGAAGGATCGCCGGAGCCCAGCAGCTCGAGGCTGCGGTGGCCGGAAGCGGCCACTGCGCTCCAGTCTGGGCGACAGAGTGAGACTCCAATTCAAAAAAAAAAAAAAGTTTTCCTTTTGTAATTTGTGGGATGATACTTTGAGATTATGCAAATATTTTGTTTCTCATCAAATTTTTACCCAATAGTTTTAGCATCCTTTGATGATCTTAAGTATTTTAATACAAAAAATGAGACAAACTGAGGAATATGTTTAATTACATGAAAAAGTATTGATATCTTTAATACACATAATATTCTTTAAAATCAATAAGATACCAGCAACTCTCCCAACAGAAAAATTGTAAAGGACAACAAAAAGGCAGTTTATTTATTTATTTTTATTTTTCATTTTAAAGATGTGGGGTACAATTCAGGGTTAGGAATACAAATGTTTATTATGCAGGTACCCTTGTTGATGAGGTGTGCCCCCCTCCCCCGTCAGATTCCCACTACTGCCAATTCCACCCCTTTCCCCCACCCCCAGAAGTTTCCCACTACTGCCAATCCTTTTCTTATAGTATTACGACAGTTGTTCAAGGTTCGCTTATGAGTGAGAACATGTGATATAAGTTCTTTGTTTCTGTGATAGATCATTCAGTATTATAGACTCTAAGTCCATCCAAGTTGCTGTAAAGTTCATAATTTTGTCCTTCTTTATGGCTGCGTGATATTCCATCATGTATATGTACCACATTTTTCTTATCCAGTCCTTTTTCAATGGGCAGGACGGTTGGTTCCATGTTTATGCTATCGTGAACAATGCTGCAATAAACATGCGTGTGCAGGTATCTTTTTCATAGAGTGATTTGAGTTCCTCTGGTTATATTTCCAGTAGGGGTATTGCAGGGTTGTATGGAAGGTCAATTTTTAGATCTTTTAGGAATCGTCAAACTGTTTTCCACAGAGATTGAACTAGTTTACACTCCCAACCAACAGTGTAGAAGTGTTCCCTTTTCCCCACATCCTCTCCAACATCTGTTGTTTTTTTGAGTTATTAATGATGGTCATCCTGACTAGAGTTAGATGGTATCTCAGTGTGGTTTTAATTTGCATTTCTTTGATGAGGCTGAGCACTTTTCATGTATCTGTTGGCTGCCCATATGTCTTCTTTTGAGAAGTGTCTACTCATATCTTTTGTCCACTTTGTAACGGGGCTGTTTTTTTCTTTTTGCCACATTTGAGTTCCTTGTAGATCCTAGATGTTAGGCCTTTGTCAGACATACACAGTAGGCAAATATTTTTCCCAGTCTGTGGGCTGTCTCCCTGCTTTTTTGATGGTTTCTTTGGCTTGCAGAAGCTTGTCAGTTTGATGAGGTCCCACTTGTATATCTTATCTCTTATGGCATGGGCACTTGGGGTTTTGATCAGGAATTGGTTGTTAGAGGCAGTTTATAAAATAAGAAATCTTAAACTCTACTAAGAAATAGATCTTAAAGATAAAAAAGTATTTTTGCCTACTAAGTTGGCACATATTAAAAGAATTAATAAAAACCACTGATAATGATGAGGCCCTGCTGATAAAAATATAAATGAAATAATATTTCTGAGAGTATGGCATATTGTATGCTTCTAAATAACTTAATGTTCATTTACACTTTGACCCAGATGCTACTTCTTAGGATTTACCCTAAAAGAAGAGTCACATAAATGTCAAAAAATATTGAGCACAAAAATGTTCATGGCATGCTATTTATAACAACAGAAAATTGGGAATAAATGATCATTGATATAAAATTGACATCAATTCAATGAAATATTATGCAGCTGTTTAATAAATTCTACAATGTTTCAAGAGAAAAAAACGTGGGGTACAAAATCTTATACCTAGTGAATTTGTTTTCAAGTTTAAAGACCACAGACTGGTCTTCTAGTGCTTCTGCTGTTTTTTTGTTTCACCTCTTCCACATTGGCAAAACATTTCCCTTAGAGGGCTATTTTTCATCAGTCGATGGGGCAGGATCAGGTGAATAGGAAGGGTGGGGTGCGAGGGTCACACTGTTTTGGGTTAAAAACTGCAGAACACTTAGTGTGGTGTGGGCAGGGGCGGAGTGGGCAGGTATGTTGTCATGGTGGAAGAACCAGTCATCTGTTTGCCATAACTTGGAATGTTTCTTCCACAAATCATGACACAGCCTTTTCAAAACTTCCAGATAAAACTTTGATTGACCGATTGATCTGAAGGAACAAATTCCAAGTATACTACGAGGGGCCTGCCCTCCAAAAGGTAATTCCGGGGTTTTGGGGGCAGTCCTCTCTCCTATGTGTATTGCAGAAAACTCACATCAAATAACAGCCAGCATAATGTTTAATAATTTTAAAAATTAGAACTACCATATTTTCATTCATGTTAGAAATAAAATAAGTATTTCAGTTACCATATTAT